TAAATTTTAAATAGACATCTGGAAGAATATCTCTGAAACTTAGATTTTAAGCATGGCACTTCTAAATAACCCATGGGTCAAAGAAGAAATCACAAGGTATATTAGAAAATATTTTTAACTGAATGATGATGAAAACACAATATATTCACATTTGTAGATGCAGCTAACGTGGGTGATTCCAGGGAAATTTATAGCATAAATATTTTCTATTATAAAGAATTTTTAAGAACCAACGAATAAATTTCCACCTTAGGAAGCTAGATAAAGAAGAGCAAAGTATACCCAAAGAATGTAGAAGAAAATAAATAATAAAGAGCAGAAATCAATGAAATAGAAAGTAGACAATTAGAAAAAATTAACAAAGCCAAAATTGATTATCTGAAGGGATTAATAAAAGTTATAGACCACTAGTAAGATTGACCAAGAAAGAATAGAGAAAATATAAATTACCAGTACCAGCAATGAAAGAAGCAATATTGGGTTCCCTGGGTGGCTCAGTCAGTTAAGCATCCAACTTCGGCTTGGGTCATGATCTCACAGTTCATGGGTTCAAGCCCCATGTTGGGCTCTATGCTGACAGCTCAGAGCCTGGAGCCTGCTTTAGATTCTGTGTCTCCCTCTCCCTTTGCCCCTCCCCTGCTTGTGCTCTGTCTCTCTCTCTCTCTCTCAAAAATAAATAAACATTAAAAACATTTTTTAAAAAAAGCAATATCAGTACAGCTTCTAAAAGATTAATAAGTCACTATCAAGGACAAATTGAAGATATTAAATCATTATGTTGTATGCCTGAAATTAATATGTTAGATGTCAGTTATACCTCAATTTAAAAATATTTTCCATTAGGGGCACCTAGGTGGCTCAGTTAGTTAAGCATCCAACTTCGGCTCAGGTCATGATCTCACGGTTCGTGGGTTTGAGCGCCACATCAGGCTCTGCACTGAACGGCTCAGAGCCTGGAGCCTGCTTTGGACTCTGTCCCTCCCACTCTGTCTGCCCCTCCCCCACTTGTGCTCTGTCTCTCTCTCTCTCTCTCTCAAAAATAAATAAGCATTAAAAAAATGTTTTTAATTAAAAAAGAACAAATTTAGGCTAATAAATTTGACGACTTAAATGGACAGATTCCTTGAAAAACTCAACCTATAAAAATGACAAAAGATGAAAAAGGGTATTTGAATAGCCATGTAGCTATCGTAAAGTCTATCAAATATTTTGAGGAAAAAATAGTATAAATCTTTCAAAAATAGAGGAAGAAACATTTCTCAAATTGTTTTTTATGAGAACAGTGTAACCCTGAAACTAAAATCTGACAAAAACATTACAAGGAAAGGAAAGGGAGGAAAGGAACAAGAAAGAAAAATTAAAGAACAATATTCTTTATGAACATAGACACAAAAATCCTTATAAACTGAATTCAGCAAATGGAATTAATCCTGGGAATGCAAGGTTGGCATATTTACCACGTTATCATAGGAATACAAGGTTGGGTGTAATTCACCACATTGCCAGAACGAGGGGGAAAAATCAGATGATCATCCCAATAGATGATTTTGACAAAATCCAACATTCATTTATGATAACAATTCTTAGCAACCAACCAGTTTAACCAGTTTGATAAAGTCATCTACTAAACACATTCAGCTTAGTGCTGAAATAATAAATGCTTTCACCCTGAGATTAGAAATAGAGCAAGAATGTTTGCTCTCACCATTTCTATTCAGCATTGACCTGGAGGTTTTAAACCATGCAATAAGGAAAAAAAAGATATAAAAAGCATAAATATTAGAAGGAATAAAATTGTCTCTGTTCACAGATTGCATTGTTTCATCTGAATCTACAAAAAACAAGGAATCTACCAAAGAAAGCCTACTAGAGCTAATAAGTAAATTTAGCAAGGTCAATATATAAAAATCAACTGTATTACTATATAATAGCAGGAAACATTTGAAAACTGAAGTTTAAAAAATTCCATTTACAATAGCAGTTAAAATATAAGAGAGTTAAGAATAAATTTAATAAGATATGCAAACATTTACACTGAAAACTATAAAATGTTGCTGAGAAAAATTAAATAACTAAATAGATGAAAAAAATGCACTACATTAATGATTGGAAAATTTCATATTATCAAGATGCAATTTCTCCCTAACATAACCATCGATTCAGCACAATGTCGATTAAAATCTCAAATGACTTTTTGCATAAAACACAAGTTGATTCTGAAATGTATATGGAAATGCAAGGGTCTCGTCTAGTCAAAATAATCTTGAAAAAGAAGAAAGTTTGAGCACTTATGTGATTTGATTTCAAGATTTAAAAATAACTTACAGTAATCAAAACAGTGTGATATTTTTGTAAAGATAAGTATCTATATTAGTGGGACAGAATAGAAAGCCCAGAAATAGACCCACTTATGTAAGGTCAATTAATTTTATTTCTTTTTTAAATTTTTTTAACGTTTATTTATTTTTGAGAGAGAGAGAGAGAGAGCATGAGCAGGGGAGGGGCAGAGAGTGAGGGAGATACAATCTGAAGCAGGCTCCAGGCTCTGAACTGTCAGCACAGAGCCTCACACAGGGCTTGAGCCCATGAATTGTGAGATCATGATCTGAGTTGAAGTCAGATGCTTAACTGACTGAGCCACCCAGATGCCTCAAGGTCAATTAATTTTCAACAGAAGGCTAAGGATATAGAAACAGAACAATGGAATAAAATGGAGGAGGCAGAAATAGATCTACCCATATACAGTCCATTAATTTTAGGCAAAGACATCAAAGCAATTAAATAAGAAAAGGAAAGTCTTTTAGTAAATGGTGCTGGAACAACTGAATAAACATACAAATAAAAATGAACCTCTACCCATACCTTATACCAAACACAAAAGTTAATTCAAGATGGATCATAGATCTCCACTCAGAGCTAAAATTACTAAGCTTCAAGAAGAAAACATTAGAATGTACCTTCATGACAATGGGGTAAGCAAAGATTTCTTAGGATGTAAAAATCACTAAACATAAAAGAAAAAAAGTTGTAAAACTGGACTTCACCAAAAATAAAACTTCTACCCATTGAAAGACACAAGGAGGAAAAGGAAAAGGCAAACTACAGACTGGAAAAAAATATACACAATACATATTATTTCACAAAGGACCCCTACAAAAATATATAGTAATGTACAGTTGACCCTTGAACAACATGGGTTTGAACTACATGGGATTTTTTTCTGAATAAATATATGTACAGTGGTGTAAACGTATTTTCTCTTCCTGCAGATTTTCTTAACATGTTTTTTACTCTAGCTTACTTTATTGTATCATTATATAGTACATATAACATACAAAATATGTGTTAATTGATTGTGTTGTCAGTAAAACTTCTGGTAAATAGTAGGCTATTAGTAGTTAGGTTTTGGGGGTCAAAAGTTATACATAGATTTTGACTGCGTATCAGGTCGGCAGCCCTAACCCCCACATTGTTCAAGAGTCAACTATATAAACAGTTTAATAATAAAAGAAAAAACACTTAACAGGCATTTCACAAAAGAAAATGTGTGAATGGCCAAAAAGCCCATGAAAAAAATGCTTAGCAACATTTGTTATCAGGGAAATGCAAATTAATATCATTGTAGGACACCATTTTACATCCACTAGCATGGCTAACATTTAAAAGACTGACAATAGCAAGTGTTGACAAGGGTGTGGAGCAACTAGAACTCTCTTACATTGATGGTAGGAATGTAAAATAGTACAACCACTTTGGAAATCTGACAGCTTCTTGTAAAATTAAATATACCTCTGCCCTGTGACCCAGCATTTCTACTCCTAATAATTACCCAAGAGAAATTGAAAATATGTCCACAAAAACACTTGTACAAGAATGTTTGTAATCACCTATTCATAATACTAAAAAACTGGAAGCAATCCAAATATCTAACAAAATATCAAACAAAAGAATGAGTAACCAAATTTTGGCATAGTCTGTGGTCATAGAAATCAGAGCAGTAATTGCCTAAGGGAGGTAAGAATTGTCTGGAAGGAAAGAGAAGGAAAGTTTCTGGAACAATGGAAATGTTATATACCTTGATTGAGGTATTGGTTGACCTATATACATTGTCTAAACTCATTGAATTATAGACTTAAGATAAATTTCACCATAGGTATAAATTTGCCTCCAAAAAAAGAAAAAGAAAATAGAAATGGTTATTTCTGTAGGCAGTACTATATATTTAGTTATAGTTATATAGTTATATTTAGTACTATATATTTAATTATATATGTGACTTAAAATTGGGTGCATTTTTTTCTCAACACACATCTATTCTGCATCTACTATGGGTCAGCCATTGTGATAGTTGCTGGGGTATAAAGATAAGTAAGAGAAAGTGGTTTGACTCAGAAAAGTCCGCATCTAGCAGGAGCCATAAAAACACAAGAAATAAGTACCAATGCAAAAATCGATGCTAAGTGCAAAGGAGGCCTGAGGAAGTGATTCTGATTTGTTGGGGTTGAGAGATGGGACCAAAGAGTGAATAAACTTGTAAGGGAAAAAAGGCTTTTGGGTCAAGAGAATCTCATGAATTAAGTGAGGCACAGAAACATGAGCCTATATGATGTCTTTGCAGAATCTTAATTGGCCCAATGTGACTACAGTAATGAGAGAGGATACTATGATGGGAGACAGTGTACTTTAATAATGGACCAAATTGTACAGGGTCGTAAAATGCCATACCACACAGTCATGTTTATGAGCAATAAGGGGCCACTGAAGGCTTTCAGACCAGAGCGATATCAGTTCTGTTTCTGTGTTTTTAAAAAATAGATCTGCTAGTAGTAAAGAAGAAGTATTAAAGTTGGGGAGAGATTAGAGGCAGAAGGAAGAGATAGAAAGGAATTATAAGAATCCAGGGTCATTTATTTTTTTAAAAATACTTATTCACTAGAATTTTGTGATTAAACATTTTTATTTGGCTTTTCCTTTCTCTTTTTCTTTAAAATTAACAATAGGAATCCAGATACATTTTGGACCACAACAGGAATGTTTCCCCAAGAGTTCATTATTTGTTTTCACAAACATGTAAGGATTGAAAGACTTGTAATCCAAAGTTACTTTGGTAAGCATATCATATGTGATTATTCATCATCTTTTAATTTTCCCATAGGCAGAGGGCACATATGTAAACTTTTGGCAAAACATGTAAACTTCTTGGCAGAACACTAACTTTTTTTGCAGTTTTATGGCTGGGGTGGGAGAGTGAGGAATATGGGTTAACTGCCTTGAGCACAGTTAGCTTCTCTAAAATTGCAAATTTGAAACCCTTCCAAAGTGCATAATAATTTCCATGCAATTTACTATTTGATAATCTTTGGCAAAAGACCTATTATAAACATAAGAAGCCAGCTTGCCAGAACACTAAGTTCTTCAACATCTTTATTCCAGATTCATTTGGCTTTGGGTTCTCTGTCAAATTCTTTCTGAAAATCTGATAACCCTGATTATTTGCATGGGATAATTTTGATTCTTCTATTAATAATGGCATTTTCTGAGGGGTTTAGGAGGAGACTCTCCCATTGGAACATCATTCTAATCCTGTCTTATGTTTATTTAAGGATAAAGTATTTCAGACAAAGTCATGGCAGGAAACAATATATCCCAGATGGTTCAAATGAATTTATTGATGAGGTTACTTACAAAATTATGGTCTGAATAAAGAAACAAATCAGGGATGGTGGGAACATCCTGAAACTGGCTACAGCAATAAGTCATTACCACTCCTGGGATAAGGGATGGAAACAGTGTTATCGGAGCCCAGTGGGAGCTGGAGCCTGTGGCCCAGCAGCAGCTGTAATCATGAAGGGACCCAACCACTGTCAAAGACATGGCATGGAAGCAGGAAGGGAGTGGAGAAAAAACTTGATCTCACTTCGCCACTGCCCTCCAATTTCCTCCCAGTGCCTCCCATTAGCCAAATCTGACCAGTAGCCAGTGGTGCTGTCTACAGGGATCCTCCCCCTAGGGCACAGAACAAAGAAGAGAAGAGTGGTTCTGGGGTAGCAGGATCTGGGTTAGGGGTAATGGAGAAAAATCAATGCAGAAGGAAAATGCCTACATTCTGGTTAAGTCTCTCTTCGGACATTAATTTTAGAGGCTCTGGAGTCAGACACACCTAAAGTTAGAATTCCACTTTTGGCCCCTACTAGTTGTGTATCATTGAACACTTTGCCTTACTTCTCTAGGGTGCCTGATTTCTCTAAGCCTGTTTCCTCATCAATAAAGTGGATTGGTAATATTTTTTCTCATAAGATTATGGTCAGGAGTGAATGAGTGAATAGGCCTGGCTCACAGTAGTTTCTCTAGTAAATATTTATGACCAAGACTGCTAATAATAATAATAATAATTAATAATATTATCAGAATATAAAAATAATTTATTATTATTATTATTATTACCAGTATTCAAAAAACTCTGGATGATACCAATTCAAAGATTCTAGGGGTGCCTGGGTGGCTCAGTCGGTTGAGCGTCCAACTTCGGTTCAGGTCATGATCTCACAGTTCGTGAGTTCGAGCCCTGTGTCAGGCTCTGTGCTGACAGCTCAGAGCCTGGAGCCTGCTTTGGATTTTGTATCTCCCTCTGTCTCTGCCCCTCCCCTGCTTGCACTCTCTCTCTCTCTCTGTCTCTCAAAAATAAATAAACTTTAAAAAAATTTTTAAAAAAAGACTCTACTAACTTTGTGTTGTTAGTACATTTATAAGATTATAGTGACATAAGACTGCATTTTACCATTGGGCCCTACAAAAAAACAGTATGTGGATGATTTTTCAATGGTGTTTCTGATCCCAGTATTTTGTGTAGTCCCACCAGTGGTTGACACTTTGAAACAGAGGAAAAAAGGAATATAGGGACAGCAACATAAAATCAGGTAGGTAATTAACACTTTATTCATTTTGTTTGCTTACAATGTCAGTGAGGACGTTGAGGATTGAAAAGAGCACCTCTAAAGAGCCAGTTGATTTTGAGCCATGGATTGAAAGAGGTATGTGCTTGTTTTTTACCAGCATTATTGTGATAATGAAGGAGTATTGTCCTTTGATTCTGTATTTCCAATTCGACTGCATTTTGGTGGAAAAAGATGACTCTTGGGATTTATTTAGAGCCCAGAAAAACTCAGGTTTGAATACAAGACTGCTTTTTCACTTACTGGTTATGCAACTGTTACCATGTTAATACTTAATTTTTTGGGGTTTCAGAATCCTTATCTGAAAAATGGTGATGGTAACCTACCATTTAAGGTTTTTGTGAACTTAGTATCTGGCATATGGTAGACAGTAAATGTTAGTTTCTTGTCTTTCCTTCCTTCCTCATTAGTGGTACTATTTAATATCATCAGCAGAATTTCCTCGAGTTAAACACAACATATTGCCTTCATGTGTCTATTTCCTTTCCTTCCATGAAAATACCATGAAAATAATAATAAAGAAATAAAAGGAGTCAGGGCACCTGGGTGGCTTGGTCAGTTGAGTGTCTGACTTCAACTTAGGTCGTGATCGCATGGTTTGTGAGTTTGAGGCCCACGTGGGGCTCTTGGCTGTCAGCATGGAGCCCACGTTGGATCCTCTGTATCCCTCTCTGCCCCTCCCCCACTTATGTGAGCACACTTTCTCAAAAATAAGTAAAAAATAAAATAAAGGAATAAAGGAAGAAGGAAGGAAAAGGAAGCATAAACCTACAAGGGCAAAAAATAAAAGCAAACAAAAACCATAGGAGATCAAAGCAGATGTGAGAGATGGATATTATGGAAGAGAGGATACAGGTGGAAGAGAATTAACTTGTACAGCTGAATGGAGTAAGTTATAACCTAAGTGTCAAGGAGAATATCAGTGTGAAGCACACCAGTTTGCCCAACAGAACCCTAGAAAGGTCTAGAATTTGAATGTAAGAGGTACCATGGAAAGTGCAAGTGAGACAAGGACCAGAAAACAAGGGTGATTAGTTGAATATCTATATATAGAATGTTTGGGCCCTAGGCAAGTTCTCCTATTCCACAAAGCTGGACCACAAACCACTTGCAAGGGGTGACTAGAAACACTGAATGTTGAGGCTCAGAACTCCGGGAGACCAGGCATAATAGAGGAAGCTAAGTGAGGCATGGAGTTGAAAATGGGATTTAAGTGGAAGCCTGCATATTAAATGGTGGGAACTCCTATGTGCTCTACTATTTATGACAGCAACCAAGAATATAGTCCTGGCCAGGAGACCGAATGATTAATTTTTGAAGAAACTGAATGGCTATAGAAAAAAGACCTGTGGATACTGACAAAGGCTAGCTTTTTCCTGGCCACCTATTGAAATCCACTAGTCAGTGAGCCTGGTTTCATGCACACAATTTTCAAGTGATTTATTATAAGTAACGAAAGACAGCCAAAGATCACAAAGACATTTGGTGAAAGCCTCAAACCCTGAATATGATCAAGCCTTTAGTTCTAATTCCAGTATATAGGAAACAGAGGACAGAGGAACAGATTTAATGAAACCATGAAGAGGCAAGATGACAAAATGTGTGTCATTCTGCATTCTGGTCCCTTCAGTAAGTCTGACGTGGGAAAAAATGGGGGGGGGGGAATTAGTTCAAGATTAAAAGAGACTTAATTCTGATTTGGATAAAGCAACCATAAGAAGACATTTTGGGAACAATTGGAAAATTTGAATGTGGACTGGTTATTATATAATATTAAAGCATTTTAAAAATTATTTTAGTGTTTGTTTATTTTTGAGAGAGAGACAGAGCACGAACGGGGGAGAGGCAGAGAGAGAGGGAGACACAGAATCAGAAGCAGGCTCCAGGCTCCGGCTGTCAGCACAGAGCCCAATGCAGGGCTTAAACCTACGAACCAGGAGATCATGACCTGAGCCAAAGTCAGACACTTAACCGACTGAGCCACCCAGGCACCCCTAAAGCATTTTTTAATGTTAGTATAATAGTATTATGGTTACGTAAGAAAATATCCTTATTATTTAGAGATAGATAATCAAATATTTGGAGGTGAAATGTCATGTTGTCCTAGAACATGCTTTAAAATACTTGAGCAAAAAAAATTCCATAAATTAAGTATACTGAAATGTTAATAAGTATAAAATCAAGATGATAGTTATATACAGGAATTACATCCTCTCCTCTTTTATGTATGTGAGATTTTCCAATTTTTCATAATTATAAAACTAAACAAATGAAAGAAGAGGTTATTATTAACTCCTGGTAGAGGAGGAATTGTGTAAGAAAGAAAATGGGATGGTAGTCCATTACTCATTTCAGCAGTAAATAACATTTATATAGGCAATAATGTAACCATCAAGTATTGATTACAAAATTGAGAGGGTGGCGGGAGGGAAAAGTTACAGGAGGAAAAGAGAGAGAATATTGGTCTACGAGACCTAAACTTTCTCCTACCATAATATAAAGTCAGTAAATCATTTACAGATTGAGAAAAGGAATATAAACATGTTACAATTCCAGGAAAAAAAGCTTAAGGAGTTGAAAACATTACCTCTCAGGAGCAGGACTAGAGAAGGAAGAAAGGGTCAGGCAGGGGATTACTATTCATTACCTCAGAGAGAGGTTAGGAAACAGTCATGCACCATCTTACTTCCTACAGACTACCCTGTTTGTAGGATGTGCCTTGAAAAAGTATGCATGCTAACTATTCTGATACAAAGAAAGTTAATTTCTAAATTATGACAGTATTTATTATTATATTAGTCAAATCATATTTCCAGGGTACCTGGGTGGCTCAGTCAGTTAAGCGTCTGACTTCAGCTCAGGTCACGATCTCACGGTTCGTGAGTTCGAGCCCTGCATTGGGCTCTGTGCTGACAGCTCGGAGCCTGGAGCCTGCTTTGAATTCTGTGTCTCCCTCTCTCTTTGCCCCTTCCCAGCTCACACTCTGTCTTGGTCTCTCAAAGATAAATAAACATTAAAAAAAAAAAAAAATTCAGGGGCGCCTGGGTGGCTCCATTGGTTGGGCATCTGACTTCGGCTCAGGTCATGATCTCACAGTTCGTGAGTTCGAGCCCTGCATCAGGCTCTGTGCTGACAGCTTAGAGCCTGGAGCATGCTTCAGATTCTGTGTCTCCCTCTCTCTCTGCTCCTCCCCCACTCATGCTCTGTCTCTCTCTCCTTCAAAAATAAGTTAAAAAAACATTTAAAAAAATTCAAATCATGTTTCCAAAAAATGTTTGATGTGGTTAACTTGTGATCAACTAAGTTAATGTTTTAAAATTATATAAGTAAAGGTTTTTTAAGTTAGATACCTGAAAAGATCAATTCATGGGCAGCATAATTCAACATCACAGTAAAAATTTAGTGTGAGAAACTGAGCTGTAGTCATGACCCATGAGAGTGGTGATAAGATGGCTCCTTTCAAGGGGCACCTGGGTGGCTCAGTTGGTTAAGCATCCAACTCTTGATTTCGGCTCAGGTCATGATCTCGTGGTTCGTGAGTTCAAACCCTGCATCGGGCTCTGCACCAACATCATGGAGCCTGCTTGAGGCTTGAGATTCTCTCTCTGCCCCTTCCCTACTCTCTCTCATGCTCCCTCTCTCTCTCAAAATAAATAAACTTAAAAAAAAAAATGGCTCCTTTCAGGCCTATAATAACTGTTAATAGCTTGATCCTTAAAAGGGACTTCCACATTTTATCCATTCCTTACTTTATATTCCTTTACTGTAATTTCTATTTCCTTTTGTTTATACTTACTAGAGATGGTCTAGAACTCACAGTTTATCTTTCATGCTTTTTATATCACATATTCCTATTTTGAAATTGAATTTTAACCCCCAAACCCTGGTAAGTCTGATCTAACTATAGTTTACCAGACATCATGTTTTGCTGAACGTAAATTTCAGTAGCTGTCCTCATGTATTTTGGTCCCTAATTCATTTCTGTTAAATTTGCTTTAGATCTAGTCCACACAGAGGGGCAGCTTCAAAATGAAGAAATTATGGTAAGTAAATATACTTGGTAGAGATAAACATTATCTTTAGCCAGCACAATGTATTTAAATTTTAAATCTATCTCTTTAGTCATAAAGTTAATAAATATCTTCCTGTTATATTATAGGTTCTTTATCCAACCAACCAACAGAGAAGGTTATTCTCAATAATATTATATTCTAAATATAGCATTCATAAACTAGGCTCTTGTCTATCGTAGAATGACAGCAAGGATAAAACAGTTCACTTATTTATCTTTATTTTGTTCGTTTATTTTGAAGTATTTACTTGCTTTGCTTTCTTTCATTTGATTCCGTAGGCCTTTAGAATAGGAATTGAAAAAGGTCGAGATGCCAAAATCGGATGTTAATTTAAGCATGAAAGGACAAGGGAGATTCACATAAGGGGAACTGGAGCATAGGATCAGCAACAAATAAGCCAAAGAGAGATGAGGTGGAAAGAGAACCAGCATTTTTCGACAACATTCCATTGGGCTTTGCTTGTCAAGTGGAATGAATGCCCGTTGATGAAGCTGCTGCCTCATCAGGAGTTTCTCTGTTCCTGCTAGTTTATCAGGCCCTGGTTTTAGACAAACACACAAAAAAGTAAAACAACTGAATGTGGGGTGTTTTTTTGTTTTTTGTTTTTTAGATGATAGTGTTTGTTTAATTAAGATTTCTCTAAATGAGACTTAAAGTTAAGTTTCCTTCTTCACAACTTACTGGGCGCAGCGTTTCAAAAGATTCTGTAGGAAGTTTTTGAATCCTCTTAATTATCTTCTCTACCACCCACATGTGCCCAAGGACTGGAGAGGCCAGTGGGGGGCAGAAAAATGATTAATTAGACAGAATATTAACTGCCTGTTTTTGTCCATCTTTACTAATGGGTTATGATTAGTAAGCTTCTGGTAAGTATTTTGTTTCAGAACTCACTGTGAATCAAGGAGCATTGCAAAATTATATAGAACATTTGGAAAACAGTAAGGGGGAATGGGAAGCTGGAAATCAGCCATGATTTTATTATTAGCCTCCCACAACAGCTTTTATTACACTTTTTTTCTTCTAGTTGTCAATATGCATCACATAGTTATCAAAATGAAGAAGTTTGTGTCTTTTTAAACAATATTATATTACAAGTTTCATAATTAAAATTAAATGTATGAAAATAGGCAAATGTTAACTGATTTCATTTTTCCTCCCTCTGTCATTACAAGTGATACTACAGAGGCCATGTTATGCACGTTCTTGCTACCATGATCGTCACCTTGTGAATTATTCCCTAAGATTAAATTTCAAGGAATAGAATTACTGGGTCCATCAGTGTAGACGTGTTTATAGCTGCTTATGTATATTGTCAATTTGCTTTCCAGAGAAATTATATAAATGTGAAAGTATAGTAACGTTTCAGGGTATATAGTCAGAGGAATCATAAAACAAGGGAAATCTAACGTGAAAATTACTTCAGAAAGACACTTTTTAAAAATGTTTATTTTTGAGAGAGAGAGGGAATGCAGGCAGGGGAGGGGCAGAGAGAGAAGGGGACCAAGGATCTGAAGTGGCTGTGCCGACAGCATCGAGCCCGATGTGGGGCTCGAACTCGTGAACCATGAGATCATGACCTGAGCCGAAGCTGGACGCTCAACTGACTGAGCCACCCAGGTGCCCCATAGAAAGACACTTAAAAAATTAATCAGAGGGGCGCCTGGGTGGCTCAGTTGGTTAAGCGTCCGACTTCGGCTCAGGTCACGATCTCGTGGTCTGTGAGTTCGAGCCCCGCGTCGGGCTCTGTGCTGACTGCTCAGAGCCTGGAGCCTGTTTCCGATTCTGTGTCTCCCTCTCTCTCTGCCCCTCCCCCGTTCATGCTCTGTCTCTCTCTGTCTCAAAAATAAACGTTAAAAAAAAAATTAATCAGAAATGTAAAGTTGCAATTGTTAGCTCCACCTGCTTTTTTTTTCATCAAACCAATGCTGATACTTGCCTGATAATACATCAGAGCAACTTCACTATTATGTGCAGCTGGCTTCTCTTCTGAATGTTGTAGCTTATATATTATTATATATTTAGGATATCGTTCTTGCATCAAACCCTTTCTTCTGCTAACTGCCATTCAACAGTTAACTAGAATTGCTAAAAGCACTCATATTGATTTTTCCTTTACAGGCCCGGGATGGCCACGCCACTTACTTGAGATTCATTATTATATCAGCCTTTGATCATTTTGCATCTGTGCATAGTGTTTCTGCAGAGGGAATAGCAGTCTCAAATCTTTCTTAGTCATTATAACAAAATACACTTGCATGGTTTTTTAACAATATATTTATTTAAACATGAAGTTGTCATTGACATACTTTATTAAAGGGACTTGTATCGATCTGTTTCAGTTTTTATTTTCTCTTCACCATTTTGTGCAAAGGAATTGGTTCATTAGTCAGAAGTGTTGGCCACCATGTAGGCTATGAGAAAGCTCTCAATTCTATATACAGCTTAACAAAGGAAATGACTATATGTGAAAACTTAACTGATAATCCGTGGTGTCCTCACAACATCTAACAGGATGCCTCTCAGATATCAATGCGTTAATTTTTTTTAGGTTCAGTGCATTAATTTTTTAACTGATGAGAAGGGCTAAGTGAGCAATATAGACACGGAATGTATGAATTCAGAAAAGAGAAAGTACTTATGGGAAGGTTTCATGGAGGCGACATGAGCTGGGTCTTGTAGAACAAATAATTTATTTCTTTTAATTTTATTTTGCCTTGATTTGAAAATCTCAGGGAAGAATTAGGAAAAACATTATCGGACTTCCCATAGACAACCATATTGATATTATTTGATTTTTTGGATAAGTTGGGGAGGTAAGGAATAAAATAAGACAGACTAGAGGGAAATAAAACTTCTCTGAATGTACTTTATTATATAGTTTGACTTTGAAAACATAAATAACCAATATAGCCAAAAAGTAAAAAAAGAAAATCCAGAATATTGAAAAAAAAACCAGAAATGCGTAAACCTAATGTTATCTCAGGTTGATAAACACATAGAAACAATGGCATTAGAACATAGTGTTTTGCCTGTGGGGTTCGTATTAGTTTCTTGGGGCTGCCATAATAATGTGCGACAAATTGGGTGGTTTAAAACAATAGAAATTTAGTCTCTCACGGCTCAGGAGGCTACGAGTCAGAAATGAAGGAATTGACAGTGTTTTTTCTTACTGGAGGTTCTGAGGGAGAATCTGTTCTATGCCTTTCTCTTAGTTTCTGGTGTTTCTGGAAATCCTTGGCTTGTAGCACCGCAGCTCCCTTTGCCTCTGTCATCATATGGCATGCTCTCTGTATATCTTCACATCATTCTCCCTCTGTGCATATCTGTTTCTGTGTGTCTTCTTATAAGGACATCAGTCCCATATTGAATTAGGGTCCACCCTACTCCAGTGTGACCTCATCTTAACTAATTACATCTGCAACGTATTTTCAAGTAAAGTCACATTCAAGGATTAAGACTTCAACATGTCTTTTTAGAGACTGTTCAACCCACAACACAATCTTAGTGAAATATCTTTATGATAGTTAATTTTGTGTATTATCTTGACTGGGCCACAATGCCCAGATATTTGTTCAAACATTCTGAATGTTTTGTGTGGGGGGGTTTTTCTTGAATGAGATTCACATTTAAATTGGTGGACTTTGAGTAAAGCAGGTTGCGCTCCATAATGTGGGTGGACCTCACCCAATCGGTTGAAGACCTTAATAGAACAAAGACTGACCTTTCCCAGGCAAGAAAGAATTCTGCCAGTGGACAGCTTTCGGACTTGTACTACAACATTAGCTCTTCCCTGGGTCTCCAGCCTGTCAGCCAACCCTACAGATTTTGGACTTGCCAGACTTCATAATCATATGAGCCAATTTCTTAAAATCAGTCTCTCCCCCCCCATTATCTGTTTGTGTGTGTGTGTGTGTGTGTATGTATGTATATGTGTGTGTATATATATGTATGTATACACACGCACATACACACACACACACACACATATATGATGGGAGGAGAGGGAGGTGGTGGCTATTACTGCTATAATCTACTACAATTAAACACTGTATGCCCCCTGATGTGATGCAACATGAAGCACACAGGCCAGCCTCCGAAGTCCTCATGCCAAAATTACTGAGCCTAAATCGAGTCAAGTTCTAGAGTTCACTTCCATTTCCAGGAAACACGAGGGATGGATAAACAAGTAAAATGACACCAAAAGGAAGCAAATAGACTAGAGGCCATTTTGTAGCTCACTGAAATGTGCAGAGCTGCGCCTTCCCTGCACAAGGTAAGATATGCTTCCTGGCCTTCTTTGCTTGGGTAGGGCCATGTGACCAATTGTGGGTGATGAGATGAGGGGAAAGTGATTGCTAGGCCGAGCATTTAATTGCCTGCATGAGACACTTCAAAGCTCTTTTTTTTTTTCTCTGTCACAACGACCGGCCGTGACATTCTACACAGTAACTACTTCATCAGTCTGGGTCTGGAAGTGAGCCTGGTGATGGCAGGTAGCAGACCTCTCAGCCAGTGTGAGGTGGACATACAGAAGGAAAAATAAAGGTTCATCGTTTTAAGTCCGTGAAATTTGGAGTATAACCTGTCCTGTCCTGACCGATTCACAGACAGATCTAGAATGTGGCTTATCCTACAGAGCAAGTGACCTGGTTTCTTCAAGTCAGTGGCCTGAAAAATGGTAATTAATTAAGGGAGGGGGTCCACTCTAGATTCAAAAAGGCATGAGAGTCCCAATAACTTCATGCCGTGTGTAGATCATGTTCGGATCTGATTTGAGCAAACCAACTGAAAGTAAGACATTTTAAAGACAATTGAGGACATACTCTTACAGATTGGGTGTTACTGTTCATTTCGCTAGGTGTGTTACTGGCATCATGCTTAGGCAAGAATGCTCATACTTTTCAGAGATGCGTATAGACGTATGTAGGGGTAAAATGACATATCTGGAATTTGCTTTAAAATACTTCAGCAGATTTTTTTTAAGGGAAATGGCGTTAGTTGAAACAAATATGGCCATAAATTGTTAGATCTGGGTGGTGGATATATGGGGGGGGGCGCTTCACTGTACCCATCTCTTTATCTTCGTGTGTGCTTGACATTCTCCATAATAGAAAAATAAAAATCATTAATGCTACTGAGGGTATCTCTGTGCTGCCCCTCAGATGATTTCCTTAGAAGAGATTCCTAGCGGAAACTGGTCAAAATTAGGCTCTTAACTACTTTCTGATAAACTACTTACCACGATTTGTTGCACAAATTTACTTTTAGAAAGGTAAGTTTCAAATAAATGGAGGAGAGTAAGAAAGGTATTTCAAGAGCAACGTTGGTGTGATCGGCAATGTGAAGATGAGCACTCTCTGATCAAACACGTTTGGAGAGTGATGAGGATTTAAGTCTGACTAGGGCAAAGAATGAGATGAAAACCAAATGTTCTCAAATAGTTTCCCCTAACACTGGAGCCACGTAAGGTTTTTGAGAAGGAAGGTGACTCAGAGCAATTGCGTTCCTGTTCAATAAAATGAAATGCTAAGGATTCTCTTTTGGCCACCTTCCTAAACTGAAATGTCAATGATTCTTTGCGTAAGAAGGGCTCACAGATTGCTGGAAGGGATCTCCAGAGGTTGTCCGATTGATCTCTTTGGCACAGACCTAGTAAATTATCTCTAAGTCTTTTTTCTCGGTTTCTGTCTTCCGCGGATGCAGACAGCAAGTTATCAGTGACCACTTTATGATACTTAAAAACAACATATTCTTTAACCTGCGTTTTCCTGGGCTTTAAAAACTCATTTCATCCTTATAAAAACCTCTCCAAGTTTCAAGCAATAGGTATAATAATATGTGGCTTTATCTTTTTTCCTCCTCACTGCTGAACCCCATCATCTTTTCAAAGTATCATTTGTCCCCAGTTGGCTTCCTCTATCCCCCTCATCCCTCATTTGGATTTACCTCCACCTACCCACTGACTCCTGACTCCCATTGTGCTGTGTGTGCTATGCGATCTGGACCTTTGAGTCTGCCTTCTCTTTCCTTTCCTTAGGTATCTGTACAGCTAGCTTCCTCATGGACTTCAGATCCTTACACCAAATCTCAGTGAGGCCTTCCCTGGCGTCCTGTATCTCACCATCCTGGCCATCTCCCACCCACACCACCCACACACACCACTGCAACATGAACACATTCAGTCTTCCTTCCCTGTGTTTTTCTCCTGTGTTCTGGGACTAGCCACGCTGTGTCCTATGCTTCAGGGGTTCTGGTACCTTACTCCTCTTTTCTCACTAAAATTCAACTTAGATTTTCCCCCCTTCAACCATATCCCAAGCGAGCTTTGAAAGATGAGGTCAGTGCAGCCTCCTTTCAGGTGTAAATATCTTGGGTAGGGTCTCGATTGAATTGCCCTTGGCTCCCATCAGGAGCCGTCAGGGATGGCCCTACCTATTACTATACATATTTTTTTCTTTTCTTTTTTTTTAAGTTTATTTATTTTGAGAGAGTGAGAGAGAGAGCAGGGGAGGGACAGAATGAGAGGGAGAGAGGGAATCCCAAGCTGGCTCTGTATGGTCAGCCCGACGCAGGGCTCAAACTCACAAACTGTGAAATCATGACCTGAGCCAAAACTAAGAGTCGGACGATGACTGAGCCAGCCAGGTGCCCCACACATATTTTTTTCTTATTTCTCATGTATATCGTATTTGTTGTGTCTTTCCCTCACTAGCATGTAAGTTCCACAGGGCAGAGAACTTTTGTTTCTTTTGTTTATGACTGTATCCTCAGGCCCTCGTGCCTGGCACATAGTAGATTTTCAATGAATATTTTCAATAAATAAACAATGTTCATTTGTTTGCATATCTCAGTCTCTATACTATAACATCCTTGAGGAGTTTTTAATAAAGCTAGCTAATAAAGTACCCATTTTTAGATCATTTACCGTGGGCCAGTGCCTACTACAGTGCCAAGTTAAACAACCAATCAATTTATTTAAAGGGATGGATTTTTTAAAAAGTAAAAATCTAGGGGCGCCTGGGTGACTCGTTGGTTAAGTGTCTGACTCTTTTTTTTTTTAATTGTTTTTTAATATTTATTTATTTGTTTTTGAGAGAGAGAGAGAGAGCAAGCAGGGGAGAGGCAGAGAAAGAGGGAGACAGAATCCCAAGCAGGCTCCACACTGTCAGCACAGAGCCCAACATGGGGCTTGAACCCACGAACCGCAAGATCATGACCTGAGCTGAAACCAAGAGTTGGACGCTTAACCGACTGAGCCACCCAGGCGCCCCGTGTGTCTAACTCTTGATTTTGGCTCAGGTCATGATCTCACGGTTCGTGAGTTCA